AAATTACCAAACATTTTATAAAAATATTTGAGCTCATTTATGATTTTTCTATGGTCTTATTTAATTTTTCTTGGATATTTTGAATATAGGTTCTAGTTTCCCCTTTTATTTTCATTTAAAAACCATTTAAAAAAATATTTTTCTTTATTTTCAAATACGGTTTTATTTTGTATATATTCTGGTTGATCTTGGACTATGAGATCTTGATCATGAGATCCATTAATATTATTGGATCTTGGGTGTTGAGTTTAACTTCACCAAAATGGATGGATGATTTTAATGATGACTTGATTAAATTTTAGGTTCAAATGTGGTTTAATTTTTATCCATTTCCTCTTCATCTCATCCTCTTCTTATTGTGTCACATGTTGTTAGAGGATGATATACATATCATATCTCCAAATATATGACACATAAATTGCTATTGACCGACCTCAAAATAGGTGTGACTTCTATATAAGTCCACTTACGATTGCTTAACATAACGCTATATTTTGTCTCGATTCGAGAAATGATCATTCGTGGCTCAAACCCATGTTTGTAAGCCCAAGTATGTTAATTTGAATCCTTTGATCCAATAACCTTGAGATTCATTGTTAGGAGGCTTTGGTCTTATCAATTCTCTAATGAATCTTCATAAGCTTTGGTCAAAGTGAATCACTTAAACATCGTTGATCATTCATTGTTGCCTTGAGAATTTTAAATGAATGATATACTTGACAAAAAGAAAATGAAACTTATTGTTGAGAGGCTTTGATTTTATAAATATTCTAATAAGTTTCAAATGCAAGTGTCAAGATGGTCATTCAACTAACCTCTAATTTCTAACAATTGACTTTATTTTGTGCTTTTACTTTATGCTTTTACTTTAAGCATATTTATATTAGTATTTACATTTCATGCTATTTTCATCTTGGCTCATTTGAGCATTTACTTTTATATCATTTTTTTATTTTTGCTCACTTGAGCCTTTCATTTCTTTTTGAATATACCTAATAATCAACTTGAACCATAAAAAACTTTAATGTTACTTGTACTAGTTGGTTATTATCCTTGGCATTAACGAGATTGTGGACTTCTTGGACTTAGGAATAGAAGTTGTGGCATATCTTGAGACCTTGTGACTTCAACTGTTATTTTGTCTGGAGTTCTTGGGGTTTACCCCAAGACATTGGATTGTTTGTTTGCTTTGTGTGCAAGTTATTGTGATTACATGCTTTGTCTGTGATCGGGAATTCATTTGTATACAACCGTTATTCTGCCCAATTTTTGTGAAGACTTAATACATTTGAAGCTTGGTTTTCTTAAGATATTTATTATCTTTACTTGTTTGGTTTTAATCCAAAGGATAGGAATTCTATATTGACTCATTGTGTCAAGTGTTGGATTCTTGTTGGTTAGACGACTCTTTTCCCAAGCTTTTACCTTGTGTTTTAGGATAGTCCCTTCATCTTCTCCCATCTTCTTTAATTTTAAAAATATTCTCCCTTTTATTAAAATTATTCTTGTTTTATAAACTTGAACTTCTTTCACAATAAACTTGGACTTATGTCCATGCATTTTCAAAAATATTTTCTTAATCAAACTTTAATCAATTTAATAATACTTTGATATTTTTGTGAGAAGACTAAAAGTCAATCAATCTCATTCAAACCATTTTTCCACTTTAGTTTTTTACCTTAAAACCTTTCTCAAAAGATTGGACTCTTGTTAATCCTTGTAGTGATGCGAGCTGTTATACTTCTACGATATGTAGTGAAGTGAGATATTTTCCACTTGTATGTTGAGTGAGGCTTTATTGATTTTAAAATCCAAGTTATATCCTTCACTTTAAGATGACGTAAATTCTCCTTTCTCATAATTGTAGGTAGTGAGTATGTTCTTCCACTCGGATAAGACGATGATGTCTTGTCTCTTAAAATTAACCAACACACTTGTGTTTTTTTTTATAAATTTTTTCAAAGGTGAACTACGAGTATCCTGATCCCTTATTGCACGAAAGGTGGTACGTAGGCACTAAAGGTTCGCAACTGCGGCGGGTGCAAAAATCATAAAAAAATACTTCTTTTCTCATCTCTACAATCTATTTTTGTATACAACATTTTATAGCCAAAATATACAGATTTTCAAAGAGATTCTTGCGGAGTACCGTAGATGTTTAGGGTGCTAATACCTTCCCTTTGCATAACTAGCCCCCGAACTTAGATTCTCTCCCCCTCTTTTTTGGGTTAGTTTCTCTTTTTCCATTTCTTTGGAAACAATAAGATGCGGTGGCGACTTTTAATTTGATCTGTGCGAGTCAAGTCAATCCAATGACTTAGTCTCAACATTTCTACCACTACACACGCGACACAAGTCTCATCGTGGAGCGATGTTACAACATTCTGATATGTTTTGCAGCTTTAAATAGAGATTGTTGGTTACTTTTCAAGGGTTGGGAATTTAATGGAGAAAGTGACGGTTGGGGATACCAAAGTGGCGATTTTGAGGATTTTGGAAGTCATTGAAGATCTTTCTCTTCCTTGATTTTCATGTTCTCTCTATCTAAATCATGATAATTGTTATCATCATTATGAGTAACTAGATTCCTTAGATGAGGTATTTTTAGACAAACCTTCTTGTACTTGTTGGATTATATGGTTGTTTGATGTTAATTGAATTATTTTATGTTATTGTTATTATTTAATTGTTCTTGATCTTAATGCTTTTATGTACGGACGATGCATGAGTTGATATCAAATGAGTAGGGACTTTTTATTGTTTGTCTACCTATTCGATCTAGGGAAATTATTTAACTTAGTAATTAACTAGGAATAGGTAATTACGAGTTGTGGCTTTTGAATTAACGAACTTAGAAAACCTAATATAACTCTGAATTGGCCTATTGAATTAGGAAATTATTTTATAGATTAATGAGTTTTACACCAATGAATTGAGTGTATTGGTCGTGTTAATTTGGCATAATACTTAAACATATTATAAATTTGATTAATGCACAACTCATCAACAAGGATAAGTAGGGAAGTCGAAAGAATATCTAATCGCCTTTAGTAATTGATTTCAACTCCATTAATTTCTCATTTTTATTCGCGGACCTAATAAATTTGAAACCCCCTTGTTGTTTACTTATTTAGAACATGGTTACCTTGTTTAAATTCACAATCTTTGTGGAGACAAATTTTATCTATTACTTCGACAAAACTAGTACTCTTGCTAGAATTGTCATCAAGTTTTTGGCTCTGTTGCTAAGGATTGTTGATAATTTCAACAAGGCAATTATAGTGCGACACTTAGATTTGTAAGTTTTACATTTTAATTTAAATTTTTGTTAGTTTTCAATTTTCAATTTTATTTTGTTTTTAATTTAGTTAAGTTAATTTTTTCTCTACTTTTATTCTATTCTATTTGGCGAAATGCTACTAAGGTATTGCTTGTTAGCGTACCGAGTTGATGTTGATATCAATAGATCCAAAAATTTAAAGAATAACTCACGCAATTTGTAGGAAGAAACGAGAAGCAATGCAAGTTATCAAATAAGTAAAAGAAGAAAAACACAATTCCTGAAGGACTGATTTATGGCGGATATCTTTATAATTTCAGCTGGCTAATTCAATAACCTTTAACATTAAGAATTTTGTACTTTCAAGTTTGAAGGAAAACCCATTCAACAGGAAATTAATCAGATAAACTTAGGAGAATCTCGCTAAATTCCATGAGACATGCTCGATATGCAAGCCAACGGGTGACATCGCCAATGATCATGTAAAATTACGTTTCTTTGGTTTTTCTTTGATATGACGCGCAAATGATTGATTGCAATGCATTCTAAATGGTACTATTCAGATCTAAAAGGAGTTGGGAGACAAGTTCTTAGAGAGGTATTACTCAAATGCGCATTTTGAGGAGAGAAATGCAGCAATTTCCAAAATTTTGTAAGAAGAGTCACAATCATTATTTGATGCATAAGAAAGATTCAAATTGCTACTCTGAAAGTGTCTAAATCATAATACGAGTGTTATAAAACAAATGCCACACTACATTAACAGGTCTAGAACATAAACGAGAATGCTTCTTGATGCCTCAACAGGAGGTACATTGACGGAAAATACTGATGAAGAGTTATAAATGTTGATTGAGAATATGTGTTAGAATTAGTACCACTAAAGTGAACAAGTGATGAAGCAAAAGGGCATTCATGCAGCTGATTCAACCACATCCTTATCAGCTCAGGTAGAAGCAGTTTCTAAGCCATTATCCATAACACAACTAGACCAAGGAAATGTTAGCCAAATTTATATGCTTTGTTGTGATTTTTATGGAGAGGGACATGCAAATGGTAATTGCACAGTCGAGGTTTAGAGTGTTGAAGCACAATATGCGAATTTCAAAAGAATAATCTATATTCCAACACCTACAATCCCGGTTGGAAGGATGATTTGGTCTCGCACATGGATCAAAATGAATTATTATAATGTAGTATACAAAAGAGACACTCGAGTCGTATTGCAAGGACTCTTGATTATTTTAACAAACCAATTGAAACAAAGATAGAGGTTTTAAGGTTTCAGAACTGTATTCGTAAAAAAGGTAGACTAAAACAAATATAGCAAAAAAGTTAATCTATTGGTTCAGTTTTTGACTTATCATTGATTCTTATAATTCCAATTTCCTAAGGGGATTCGATCCTATTCAATTACAATATCGATTAAACAAATGTAATTGATACTATATGGTTTATGTTCCTATTTTCTGAATTAAGCAAACAAATAATGATCGCGCGAAGTAACAAAAAAGATATGCCAAATGCAGTTAAAGATAAAGAACATGAACACAGCCGTGACCAAGCCGTGATTGTTTGTTCTAAATCATAACCAAGCCGCGACCAAAAGCGCAGCCCTACATCAAATAGAAAAAAACATAATAAACACCACACACTCGCAGCTAAACCGATAAGCCTGCAGAACTGTTACGCACACCAAGCACCATCACATAGAAAAAACATGTTGTTGCTTTCGGGCCCACGCAAAAAAAGAGAATTGGCTTCTGTTGGTAAGTGGCAGGGGCTGAACAATGTAGTGGTTGTGCAAAGCTTGACATCTGAGCTGACAAAAGAGCAACTTGCTGATTTCCAAGCTATTGTTTTTACCGATGTTAGTTTTGAGAAAGCCATTGAGTTCAATGATTACTGTCATATCCATCAACCTCCTATTGCTTTTATCAAAACTAAAGTTAGAGGCCTTTAAGCACTAAGGGAAGCACTCAGTGATCCAGGTGATTTTCTTCTAAGTGATTTTTCAAAGTCTGATCGCCCATCTTCACCATCATTGGAGACTCAACGCTTGATAAGAGAACAACAGGATGATGAATACCTTGCATCAGTACCTAACAAAAAAAAATAGAAAATCATGAAAATAATTAAGAAGAAATAAAGTCAGGCCAGCTCAATCTCTCATCCTGACCATTGTTTCTCTAACAAAAGTCTCAGATCTAATGGTTCAAAATTAATTCACTCCTAACTAACTTTAACATAATTCTAACCCCTAACCGAATTTCATTCATCTAACAGATTCCTAACAAACTCTAACAGTAATAACAGGAATGATAAAAACAAAAAACTCACCTTGGTTGAGCACAAAATTATTCTTCAAAAACAGAAAAAGATCACGCCCCAAAATTTCTCTCGGCTTCTCTCATCTTCATTCTTAAAACCAAGAAAAATCCATAAACCTCTTGCTTCTTCTCCTCCATCTTGTACTTCACCTTTCAATTTCATTCTTCATTTTTCGACAGAAGCATCTTCAACCTTCTCTCTACTCAGGCATAACCGCATCATCCACACAGAACCGCAGAAAGTGCAGGAACATGTAATAAAAAAGAAGAACAAGTTTTCATAATTGCAAGCGAAGAAGGGAGAAGATGAAGTACGATGGAACATGCATACCTGAGTGGAAGTTCTCTGGTTTTCTCGTCGTCGGCATCATTGTTGAAGAAGTGCCAGACTTCTCTTCGGTAGCAAAATCATGCTCCGAATTTTTCTCTTCTAGAACTCCTAGTCTTCCTCTTCTTCAAACTCTATCAACGCCAACTTTGTGTATCTCTTCTACAAATATTCATCTTCTCTGAATCTCTTTAATCATCTTTACTGACAATCTGCGAATGCATTGTAGCTGTAATTGTCATCATCGTCTTTGTTTGGTTCTCAGCATCGCCAACGCATCATTGCTTCTCTTAATCGCAAAATCAACAATGAATACATAGAGAAATAGAAGGAAGAAGAATAGTTGATCGGAGAAGATCGAAGTTTCATCGGCGATTTGGACGGGAAGTGGAAGGTTGAGTTGCAGCGAAATCCAATTGAGACAATGAGGAGAAGAGAAAGGCGGAGACAGTTGAAGGAGGTGGCTCTGGCCGAGTGATTTGAGAGAAAGGAGAAGAAGTCTCCGTGTTTCACGTGATAATTGGGATCGTCACAAAACTCAACCCTAGCTCTTTGTCTCATTTTTTCGTTATTTCCTTATTTTTGTTAATTTTTATTTTATAGAATAATCCAAAAATATAAATTTAAATAATTGAATAAGATAAAATTTGGAGGAGGCTGTTGGTGATTTTCTGTGAGTCATGTGGACCGAACCCAAACCCTTTGCTTGAGCCCAATTGCGTTTTTGGTGATCTGAAGCATGATGCATAAAAAAGGCTGGATTGGTTTTACTGGGTTGGGCCGAATGGCATTCTGAAGCCCGACTTGATTTTTTTTGGAAGCTGGCTTGCTGCGTGAACCAAAAAAAAAAACCTTGCTGGGCCTAGCGTCCTGATTCTTCCAGCACCTCCTGCTTAGAGGTTGCACCTTTTTTTTTTTATTTGCATTTTTTTTGGATAATTTTGATAATTGTTTTGTTTGAGTTTTTTTTTTCCGCATGATAAAAAATAATAAAATTAATAAAATTTGTTAGATTTTTTATTTGATTTTTAGGAATTAAATCCCGATTATCCGATTACTTGAGATTTATAATTCACCTTTGCCTTTTGAGATCTGAGTCTTATGCAGGTTTACTGTGTGATATGCGGATATGCTTGACTTTTCGATTGTGATTTGTTTTCACATCGATGATGCTTCGACACTTATTCGGAGTATTTGATATTTGACTCTTTTCTTTGATTGGTGAAGCTTTCGTGAAGATTGTCGAGTTTTTTTTTGTTTTGATACACTTTTCTACAAATTGATATCTATTTGATATTTTCTCTTGTTTATCTCATTTCAGCATTTACCACTTTCTAGAGATCATGTATAGCATGGGCATTTATCGCTTTCTAGAAATCATGTTAAGTAGGAAGCATGAAATAAAAAGCGTGCGCTCGAAGTCACCGTTTAAAGTCCTGTAGCAGGCACCGCTTTCTATATGCTATTTGTGTTTGTTTAAAATCCTACCTTTTAAGTAGGTACTCTGCACGTGTGTTTTTATTTGTGCCTGCATATATTACAGGTGATAAGTCCTCAAAAGGAGGAAAAAGGGGAGGGTCCATAATTGAACCCTGCATATTCTAGTATGTGTCATCCTTAGCTCACGTTGTACGTCGATGCTTCGGAGTCGTGCAGATCTTGTGTGTCGAGTTCGTCAAATGAGGAAGGGTTTTGTAATCAAACCCCCATGATTTGTTAGAAGTTATTGGCCGATGCTGAAACTCCATGATCGTTCATATTGTCTTTTGTCGCCTACCTCAATCTTCTATATCTTGGTTAGGTGTTCAGTCGCTTTGGACGTCACATTTTTTTATTTCATCAGTCTCCCGCTTGTTTGCTTCAGGTGATCCACTCCCTTTAGCTAAAGCATTTCTCTTGTTTTCCCCATCCCTTTGAGTCAGTATGTGCTACTCATGATTGTGTGCTTTTGACAGAGCACTTGTTTGCTTAGTTGTTTGCTGCTTCCCTTAGGATCGCTCAATTAGAGTAGCTTTCTAGCTAGACATTAGGATAGATATCCATACATGCTAATATAGGGTAGATATTCCCCTTTCATCCTCAACCTTAGGGTTAATCATTGTATGATAACATTAGGGATAGATCTAGGTTTGTCTCCCTTAGATTTTTTTCTTTCTTTTTCATATTTACATTAAGACCAAAACTCTTTTTCTTGAAAAAGCATAAAACATCTAACAACTTACAAATCCTTCTTTAAGGTAAAAGCTAGCAACCAATGCAAACTCTTTTGCGCCTTCGGGCTTTTCTATTAAACTTTTTTCAAAAGAACATGTTATTTCACTCTTGTGCTGACGCGTGAGTCTCCAAAGGTCGAGCTGCGGTAGAAGGCGAAATTAATATTATTCATAAAAAATACAAACTAACAAAAACTTTTGAGCCAAACTACAACTGCTCTGATTCCTTAAAGGAATACGTAGGCATTGGGGTAGGGTCTGAATGAGCACAACTTTTATTTTCCCTACATTATTTTCTCTTTTCTTTTGCATGCATCCCCTCTTTACATTTTCTTTTAGCTCATAAGCTTATATTTGAAATACACCCATTAGATTAGAACAACAAAAGTGGATACCGTAACTACGGGTGTGTAGGGTGCTAATACCCCCCCCCCCCTCGTGTAACAGACTCCCTTACCCGATCTCTCGATCGTTTGATCGTGATTTCACCCTTATCAGGTTTACTCGGTGTTTACCTTTCCCATCACGTGGGATAAAAAAGGTTCGATGGCGACTTCATCGATTTCATCTCGATGATTTATTCATCCGGTTGTTTCAACCATGAGAGAGAATTTCAAAATAAGGAATTCAAAAATTTTCTAACGAGAATGGTATTCGACACACCTTTTCCACTCTACAAACTCCTCAACAAAAATGGGGTAATAGAGAGGAAAAACAGTTCTCTATAGAGATGGCAAGTATGATGCTCAATGAGACCAATCTTTTCAAATACTTCTGGACATATGTTGTGTCTATAAGCTTCAATTGCATCATAGGAACTTAAAAAAAGGTTATTTTTTCATATACTTCAAGTTATTATTGCTAATTTTTTAATTTTGAGAATTTCTACAATAAAACGAATTATACTCGTTTGCACAAATGCCTCGACGATTTTTGCTAGTTAATACGTAAAGTCTAATAAGCATATTTTGAGTTGGTACAAAAATGAGATCCCCAGTAGCCGAAGACAAGAGATTTGTATGAGAAAACATAAGTAAATGAGCTTATGCTTGAGCCTCCAAAGATAAATGCACATTAACAACTATTTGATCCTCGTTAAAGTCTGTATTGAATCACTTACACACCAATTGGTTTAAACAAATGGCACGTCCTTATACTAAAATGGGTTGAAATTCCTGTATGCCCAATCTATACAAAATAGGTGCTCTATTCATTATTTGTCCCCGGCCCACTCCCCCAATGAGGAACAAATTTTTCCCCATCCCGCCCCATCCAGCCCGCATAAATTATATTTTTTTTGAAATGCATAATTTTTCCAATAACAATAAAAATTAATAATAAAACTAAATAATTGATTATTTTAAAAATAATCATAATGTTTGATCATTTTTATTAACTTTGTATTTTCAAAATAATAAATAATAAATTTAAAAAACACGATATTTTAACATTAAAAATAGTGTAAATGAGTAATAAAATTATTCAAAATAAGGATAGTAAAGTAAGGGTTAAATATGTTTTTGGTCCGTATAAATTACCAAATTTAATTTTTAGTTCCTATAAAAAATGACATGTTTTAGTCTCTACAAAATTATTATGCACATAGTTTTAGTCTCTACTGTTAAATTGATGTGTATTTTTGAATGATTATTTTTCAGACATGTTTAGAATATTATAAAAAGTTCCTCGAAAAAAAAGAAACTCAAAATTTGATTTCTAAATCGAGATTTTCATTACTTTCATCAATATTTTTTAAATTTTAAAAAATTCATATCATTTTAAAAATTTTAAAATTTGCTAAAAAAATGTTATAGTATTCTAAACACGTATGAAAAAAATATTCAAAAATTTAAATGTTTAAGGATAATTAAACAGTTTTCAAAATTTTAGAAAATAAAAGGGACTAAAACTGCATGGAAAAAAAATTGTAGGAGCCAAAATGTGTCATTTGTTAATAACGAATAATAATGAAATTTGAGATATTTATAGGGACCAAAAACATATTTAACCCTAAATTAAATTTAATAGACAGGGGCGGGGCAAGGGTGGTTGCGAGCGGGTACTAACATCCCTCTGCCCCCCGCCCCCGTAACTAAAAACTGGGTTTTTCGTGCACCCGACCCTAACTAAATTGGGCTTTCCTTGTTAAATACGGGGCAGGTCGAATTTATTTGCCATGCCTATCTCTCACTTACACGTCTTTGGTTAGAAATGCTTTATCCTTAACGACGGGAAAAGAAACTTCAGAAAATTTGACCAAAAAACTAAGGAAGACATATTCATAGGATATTCCACTTACAACAAAGCTTTTAGATTAGAGTCTTTAACAAATAAACTCTGACAATCGAAGAATCAATTTATGTTATCTTTGATGAATTTAACCCTAACCAGTATAAGTAAAAGTTGTTGATTGTGCATGTATTTTGGAAAAGACAAATCCGGAGGAAAATCAAGAATCAGACTAAGAAAAAATGAAAATCAAATCACAGAGGAAAAACTAGTTCAAGATTAAATTCTGGACACTCCACTAGAACATCTAGATTTTCCAAAGGAATAGAGACCAAAACGACCATTCTATCTAGAATGTCATTGAAAATATCTCCAAGGGAGTCACTGCTCGACGATCCTTCAATGAGAACTTTAAATCTATCAAACTAAGGGAGAAACCTTCATCAATCAAGCTAAATAATGTAAATAATTATTAAAAATATTTGATATGGAGAAATCTAAGATAATAACAATCCCAATGTCAACCTCATGTAATCTTGACAAGGAAGAAGATGGAAAACCAGTTGAAGAAAGTAAGTATCGAGATATATTGGCTCTCTTCTCTATCTAACTGTATCACATCCTAATATAATATTTATTATCTGTATATGTACACACTTTCAAGTATCCCCAAAAGAATCACATCTCAGCATGGTCAAACGCATCATGAGATATTTCTCTGGCACACCACAAATGAGTTTATGGTATCCCAAGGGAGCAGATTGTGACTTAGTTGGTTACTATGACTCAGATTTTGATGGGTGTAGATTGAATAGAAAAGTACCACTGGTACATGTCACTTACTTGCGAACTCGCTTGTATCACGACATAGCAAGAAACAAGCAAGTGTTGCATTATCCACAATTGAAGTAGAATACGTTGCTACAGATAGTTATTGTGCTCAACTTATTTGGATGAAACAACAATTCAGCGACTATGGTGTAAATTTTAGAGTTGTCCCAATAAGATGTGACAATACTAGTGTCATAAGCCTCACAAAAAAACTCGATACTTCACTTCAGGATAAACACATAGAAGTTAGATACCACTTTATTAGGTATCATGTTAAAAAA